TATGAAATGGAGTATTTCCATGGGCTTCTATGTCAACAGTTTAGGGGGCTTGGCAGGTCAAGTTAGGATTTATTCAAATAGGAGTTTCATTTTGATATCAACCCTTTAACTTGTGACAGAAACAAGCACATGCCGCCACCAGAACAGCTCCTGGTGGCTGTGGGCCTTACCTCCTGGAACTCATTCAGGAAAGAGTGCTCATACTCTCCCCTGCATCTGCGCTCCATCCTCTCCTCTATCATCTTGTGCAGGATGGTGGTGACAGCATTCGCACTCACTCTCTCCAGCAAGTTCAGCCTGTGACTGCAGACATAAACAGTGGCCTCGTTCAAAACATGTAGACAGAAAAGCACAAAACAAAGTGCAAAGTAACTGGGTTCAGGGGAGGGAAGGGGTAGAGGTCCATACTGCACATTGGTTAGCATATGTCAGATTAGGAACTGGCCTCTCTCCACATAGACAGAGGAGCATTTCTAACCCTGCCAGATGTCAACATTGTATGGTTCTTGGGTGCTCAAATACCAAGGTGATCGGCATTGTGTAAACATCTAGCTGGATAACGGGACCACAGACTTGAGGGGGATTGGGTTTGCTCAGTAAGCAGGGTGTTTATTTGGGAAGGATTTTTATCTACTAGGAAGGAAAAAAAATTAGAAAATAGGGCAACTAGAACCAAACTTACAACATCAGACATTAATGAAAAGAAAATTAGTGAGACAATATAAAACTCATGGATTCCAAACAACAGGATATGGTATAACGTGATATAGTCCAAATCATATCAAATTGTTACACTAGTCTATTGGGGAAAAGCAGATCTGGAGACAAAATACATATATTCTATACAATGAAATGTTACTTATAACAAAAATAATGCCTTTTGAGCATTTCACAGGTTTTGGCCGTCAGAAAGTTCATCAAACAACACTACAAAGGAAGAAACTCCTTTCCAAACTTACAACACAAAGGGGTTTTTTTTTCCATTCCCAGCCAGGCAGAGAAGGTAAGGAGTCACATTCCTAGACCTTTCATTCCTTCCTGGTCTTTGGTTTTATACAAAGCCAAAAGTTCAGTTAACGTTACATCAAGTTGGGGGTTAGATATATTTTTTTACACATACAACACTCTGTTAATCCTCGGTGGGTAATCTTAAATGTTCAGCTATAGCTCCCTATCAGCACAGAGGATCAGAGAACTGGAGTGGGAGCTTTCCCATCCCTCAACCAAAGGGAGAGGGGTCTGGCTGTTTAGTAAATCTTTTCTCCCAGGGGCCTGTCAGGAGCTTACATTAAATCAGCAACAAAAATAAAAACCAAGAGATTTTAAATAGACTAAGAATCCATTCCCCTCTCAAGGGTTCAGGTCCTATTCTCTCCTATGATGGTATAACCCCATTAGTTCTCCAATCGCCTATAGCAGCTTCCAGCCAAACACTGCCAGTAAGACCTGATATTTCTAATGGGGAATCAAACAGGACTGTTTTTAAACCCCTTATTCAGGCCTTCTCCATATATCCCTGGGGAGTAATGAAGGGCAACTGTGCTTTGCACCCTTGGTACCATCAGATGTATGCTCATGCATCACCAGAACCTGTTTGTCTAATAATATGCTCAACCACAGATCATGGGCTTGATGCAAGCACCACTGAGTGAGATTTTCTGGTCTTTGCTGTCCAGAGAAGACTTGATCATAAAGGTCTTTTCTGGCCTTAAAAATCTATGTAGCCTGCTGATGGGCTCCTATGCAGGTTGTGTGTTCATTCTGTCTAACAGACCCCTCCCTCTAAGATACGCACAGGATTTCATTGAGCTGCTGAAACTGCTCCATGGCTGTGGGACACCAGCACTGCTCTTTCTTACTGCTGCAGCCCATGCACTGCAGGCCGTCTCCTCCTCCATCCTCCATATCACTCTCTTGTTCATTTTCACTCATGCTGCTCTCGCACGTGTTCATTCTGTCTTCACCCTTCTTCCACTGCCGCATGTAAATCTTGAAGGTGCGGCTGTAGAACTGCTGGATCATCTCCTGGAAAGTCTTTGTGGTGGTGAAGAAGAGGATGGCTTTGAACATGGTGTAGACTTTCTCTCGCAGCATCTGGGAGCCTGTTCCAAGGAGCAAGCCCATTTTGGTCCATTTTTCCAGAAGGTCCAAGCTGTTTAGATAAGGGTCTAGGCGGCACTTGAGCAGACAAAACGCATCCAGGAGAAGCAAGGAGCACTGGGGTTCTTCGGCCGTGTTTTCATACTGGCCAATACAATTCCAGAACTCAGGGGCTATATTTGCCTGAAGGTCTGTCTGTAAAACTTCAGTGAACCACTCTTCTAGGACAGAGTGCAAGTCATAGCGCTGCAGCACTTCCACAGCAGCCCGCAAATCGCTGTCCTTCAGCAGCTCCACTGAACTGGATCTGGGTGCTGCCTAAAGAGAGACATCAAGTTAAATACAAGCATGGGCACCAAAAAATTACTAACGCTGGACTTTGCAAACCAGAAGAGAGACCAGTTCAGAGAACAGCGAGCGGGATATGAACGGAGCCTGTCACCAGGAGGGAGTTGGGTCACATGTGTGTCAGGGTGACTGTAGGTTACCAACCAACTGCTGTTTGGTGTTCCCTCTTTGGAGAGGCTGGGGTCTGAGTCTCGCTCCTGATGGGAAGGTGCCCACATCACAAGCATGAACACTGCAATTAGCATCGACTGCTCCCCGTGCTGGCAGCTGCCATGGAAGCCATAAGCTGACTGGCCTATTTCTCTGTCTAAGAGCAGGAAGCCACAACGGCAGCCATTCAGCATTAATAACGGCTCAGGTAAACCCTCGAAAACCAGCAGAAATACTCAGACCAGCCTCAGAACTGGCAGATTAGATTTAGAAACAAGATGAATTTTTCTAGACAATGCAAAGTGAATTGGTTCCCAAATTAGAAGATTCTAAAAACAGGGGCACGCTCTGAACTACTGTGGAGATCCCAAGGCCTGTGGACATCCTCTTGTGACCATCTTGGACTTTGGAGGAACACAAACTAAGGAAATTCCCACATACAAATGTTGTTAGAATGCAGGCAGACATCCATTTCTCTGGTTTGTCACTTTTCAAGAACAACTGGATATAAACAAAATTTAGAGACCCAGAAAATTCAGATTTCAGAGTAGAAGCCGTGTTAGTCTGTATCCGCAAAAAGAACAGGAGTACTTGTGGCACCTTAGGGACTAACAAATTTATTAGAGCATAAGCTTTCGTGGACTACAGCCCACTTCTTCGGATGGAGGAAATTCAGAGTTAAGTCTGCGCTTATAAGAGGTCCACAGGCACTACCTTAACTCTACTGTCCAAGTGATGCCCTATTAAAAAAAGAAAGTCAGGATATCTTACTCATCTATAACACACGTACACAGCATGGTGAAAGTGGACATTCCTCCCCCAAAAATCCTGCAAGGAGCTGAGGATGCTCACGAGCTCCCAGGGTGGGGCTCTATGATCCCATGTGTTGCCAATTAGCCATGAACTAGCAATGTGTCCATGTGCAAACCTCCCAGATCATGAAATTACAGCATTTCTGAGAAGAGGCAAGGCCAGCACAGTAACAAACCCTAGAAACAAATATGGGACACCCATGAGAAAACCAGTGGTCTGTATTTCTGATCCTGTCCCTGAAAGGAGCAACGTCACAAGGAGGTGGCTGTGCCTAGGACAGCGGCGTTAAGACCGTCTAGTTACCGAACCTGTCAAATACTGGATATTTGGGCCTCTTAACTCCGGGATTTCGTAGTTCCTGACATGGTTTGTTCAGCTATTAACAATACACATTTCTACTGTAGTAGCACCAAGAGGCCAAACAGCTAGTGCCCCACTGTGCCAGGTGCTGTACAGCCCCGGTGACCCTCCCTGCCCCCAGGAGCTTAGCCCCCGAACAGCCTCTGAGGGGCCCTTCCCTGGGATCATCCAGGCCCGCTCACAACCTGCACGTCCCTGCAGCGGGGGGTTTGGCGAGTCCAGGCAGCACCAGCGAGTCACACAGAGCAGGGCCTGTTCAGGGAGCTCGGAGGGGGCGGGAAGGGGCCCAGAAGGGGGGGCGGCATGGACATGCCTGGCGGGGCCGGCTCGGGGGGCAGGGGACTGAGTCGGAG